CTTAGCAAAGCATCAGGGACCGCGGTTCAATCCCCCAGCACCATATGCCAGCCAGCCCTGCCCCCTGGTGGGCTGAGCTGGTCTCTCTCTCTCTCTCTCTCTCTCTCTCTCTCTCTCTCTCTCTCAAATAAATAAATAAGCTTTTAAAATTATCTCAATTAAGTTTTGATATTGTTATATAAAATTCTGTTGGTCTCTATTATACACCATACATATTTTACTCATGTATGATTTGTAATAACATGCTTTTTTTTTTTTGGTACTGGGGACCGAACTCAGGACGTTGCACTTGCCAGGCAGGTGCTTTATGCTGCTGAGCTATCTCCCCAGCCTGATTATTTTTTAAAGTATCAATTATGCAGATCTCCCAAAGGTTGACACATTTTGAAGTACAATATCATGAAATTTACACTTATTAATATCAACAGCATTTTCCTCAAAAGGCTTTTTAAGGTACTAGGACACTGTCAAATTCACAGTGACAGATGCACATTTTCAAGAATTTGAGATTTCAGCTCAAAGTACAAATTGTATCTTAGCCAGTTGTTCTTTTTGAAGACTCACTCAGTTCATTTTTGAGCAGGTATCTGCCAGATGACCCAATCTGTAAGCCACAGAGTTAGTCATTCTTCCAAATGAAAGCAGAATTCCTTGGAAAAGAGAATTGTTCCATTCCATCCACAGATGGGTGCATTCTTGTCCAGCTTCATGTATACTCTGCACTTGCTCACAGAGAGTATCAAAAAGCAATCAAGTGTTGAGATTTAATAAAACAGTATTCTTTATTTGAAACTCATAACTGGTGAATTTTTTGCCAGTATATACTAATTCAAAAAACAATAATTATTAGTAGTTTGGTGAACCTTTCTGCATGCTGTGGTAACATGTCAGTGGTTTTATTCACGTTTATTTTCACACCACCTATGTAAAGGCCATCACAGTATTACTATTATTATTAATTATTACTCTATTACTACTAAGAAAATTATTTTTATCCTCAGGACCTCCCTGCCCCAGCATTCTGTGGTGATGCATAGAGAAGGAGAAACATTTAATCTAAAAACTACAAAAAAGCCTATCTACATTGTGAATGAATTCATGTGGTAATAACACAGCCACTCCCCTGATTATTACCCCGTGGGGGCAGGTTCCTGTCCTGGTGCTCTTCCTTCCTGAGACTTCCTCCTCCTCCTTCAAGATGGAGGTCTGAAGACACTGACTCCAGCTATGAGCCTTATCCTCTAGAGGGGAAGAGCTGCGGCCTGCTTTTTCATATCTCTTTCTTGACTCGCTTCCTGCCTCCTTCCCTTCTTCTTCCCTGAGACGGTCTACTTCACAGCCTTAGATTTGCACCGACAGACTTGATAGACATGATAATCACAGGGGAAGGATGAGCATGGTAGAAGCTCCAGGTGGCAGAGTTTAATACACACATTAAACATGTCAGGGAAGTAAATCCTAGAAGTATAAATGGAGCATAATTGAGCTCAATAAAACTAATAAAAGGATAATAATTAGCAAAACTGTAATGAAAACATTCAGCATAGAGTTAACGAGTTCATCATTATTACTATAATTCTGATTAGAATGTTGATGTCAGTCTTTTTCAGTGTCAAAGTGGCCCATGTTCCTCAGAATGTAAAAGACGATTCTCCTTGTCTCCTTAATAGGGAGCATGTCTTTATCCACAAATTAGACTAGTGTTTGTAGCTCAGCTATAACTGGGAATAAGTGCATAATATAGTAAGCTCATTTTTCTTGAGATTCTCCTTGAGCCTCTGTTGTCATCACAGACCCTTAATTGTTAGTTATTTATATATTCCTAAAAAAGCAAGTTAACCCCATTTTTAGTGTTCACCAAAAGATTTACAAGAAGCATGTCTCTTATTTTCACACTATGCTCAGTAGTCCTGGAGTATTAAATGACCCATGTAATACCTGAGGAGAACAAATGCTGAAATATGCAAAATGCTGCATCTAAGATGATCTCCTGTAATAATTTCTGCTTGGTGTATCAGAGATACTAGGAAGAAGCCTTGAAATTTCTAAGTTTGTTAGATAATTTTATGTCTTACAAGAAAATCAATTTCAAGGTATATCTTTATGATTTACTAATTAGTTAGCTACTGTTTTAATAAATGCCTTGTGTAAATTAGATGATGAGCAGAAATGATAAAAATTAACTTGAAAAAAACCCCACCAAATATTGACAATGTAGACAATATATAAAATATGAACAAATGTTTGCCTTAGTAGGATCTCCCTCTGTCTTTAACTTTTAAGTGTTGAGTGTTTTGTCCACATAGCAGTAGCTCTCAGAGGATCTAAGGTAGCCACTAGCCTTGCTTTCTGAATATTTGGAGACATTAGTGATCTCATGGTATCTACTATAACATAGGGAATTGACTCAAGACTAGCTCAAAGGGAACCCTGTCCCCAAAATTTATATAGGCTAAAATATTCTTGTTGACTTTCTTTGACACTATCTTCATTTCATTATTGTAAATTCCTATCCTATATAAGCACCTGTGATCTTTAT